AACACCGCTGCCGACGCATACGTAGCGGCATTACGCCGCTGCGTCCTTTCCTGACCAGCGGCTGGACCTCACAAGAGCTGGCTGTCATTCAAGGTACGTCATCTGGCCTAGTTGAGCTGTACGCCTGTGACGTCTTACGCAGTGTCAAATAAAGAGCTGTTTCGAGGGAGCTGCCCGAGTGTGAGAATGACAATAGACCCTCGCGGCCTTTAATGCTGGTTCAGACACTTGCGTTTTAGCGCGTTTGGCTGCGTTGCGTCGAGAACAGAAAGCGAGTCACCGGAACATCTGTGCTTCGCATGAAGCGTGGAATCCAATTCAGAGAATTATCTTGGCACAAGATATAAGCAGCAGGGTTGTCCTGGTTTTTCGCAGCCGCAACGCAGTCGAACGCAATCAAAAGCAACTGTCTGAACCAGGCTTTAGCCATACCAACTCTGTTCTCTGCATGAGCCAGCAAGGGCTACAAGCAGGTGTAACAAACGCGGCAACAATATCAAAAAATGTTTTCATGACGAAAAAAAAAGGAAGTGGATATTTTTTTAGCAGCCGGCACAATAACCCGGAGTAAAAGGTGCCAGTAGTTGTCCCCTATTGGGTCTCGTATAAAACGGATTCTGAACACCGTTATCGGAAGCTCTGGATTAGCTCAGTGGGCAAGGTGTTAGCCTCATACGCAGAGGAACCTGGTTCGATCCCCCATGTGAATTTTTTTTTTTAATTTTTTTTTTGTTGAGGCATTAGGCGATATTTACGACATCTCTTTTAAAATTAACACTGGAAAAAAAAAAAAAAACAATGTTGTTGACGGAACACTTTCTTTTTGGGGGTGACTGGAGGACAGCGGGACTTGGGCCGCCGGCAGGCTCCCGCGAAGCGGTGGTACTGGTGGGCCAAATGGGTCAATATATTTCTAATGAGCAGCCGGAGACTGTCGCCGCGAAGCGGCGTGAACGCGGGCAGTTGGCTGTGTTAACGAGCTCCCCACTGATACACGCGCCGTCCGATACTGCCGGCATTTTCTTCCCGGGCTATTGTGCCGGCTGCCGGCAAAATAGTCTCACCCCTCCGCCCCCCCCCCCCCCCCCACAAAAAAGAAAAAAAGCAATGAATTGTCCTAAAGGAGGGGAAATAAGAGAAGGAAAAAAGATGACGGGCATCGAACCACGCAACCTCAGCAGCCTGGATGTGTGAGGAATATTCCCCCTCAACAAAGTACGCAGAGAATCGAGATTGTAACCAATTCACGAATGCTGTATCGGACGTAAAGCAGCACTAATTTACATTTGTATTTACGTCATGTTTCGGCCGTAAAGCGAAACATAGGTTGCGTAGGTTATACTGGGCGTGACCAACTTTTATTTCGGGTTCCGTAGGACGTTGCGCTAGACACTGCGGACACTTAAACAAGCCCAGACCTGTAAAGAGATTGCTACTGGGCAGAATCTTTAAGCATGCTTGCATGTGATATTTTCGAATGCTCGCATAAAAACCTAGCTCTTCCCGACGCCCAACGCGAGTGCGTTGCCGTGGCTGGGTGCTCATTCATTTTCAAATATCTCAAAATTCTAACTAGCCTGGCACCTTGGGTGCTAAAGGGGTAGCCACGGTCGCCCAATATCCGGCATGGTGTTTCAGGCAGTTCACTTTTAAACGTAGAACCTGGAAATGGGCAGAGGCAGCTTAAACAAAGGCTGTGTCTACAGTGCCGTCCGACGCCACTCCAATCGGGACTACAAGTGCCGTCCGAAAAAGTCGGACGGTGCGTGTATCACTGGGGAGCTCGTTAACACAGCCCCCCACCTGCGTTCGCACCGCTTCGCGGCGACCGTCGGCGGCTGCTAATTACAAAACTATTGACCGATTTGGCCCCGTCGTACACGCCCCTTCGCGGCGTCCAGCCGGCAAACCAAGCCCGCTGTACCCGATGCACCTCCGGAAACGAAGTGCCATACCACTTCGTTCAGCGAAACTTCGGCGGAAACATTCGTTTTCTTTCTCTGTGTTAATCTTGAAAAAAAAAAAGGATAATAAATGTAAATATTGTTAAATGCGTCGCCAAAATAAAATATTGGAGAAAACAAAAACAAAAAGTCAAGCCCACAGCGGGGATCGAATCGGGGATCGCCTACTTGTGAGACAGGCATCTTACCGCTAAGCTACAATCTGCCTCGAGAAACTCGTTTTGAGAACTCGTTTTATGGACCGACACGCTGCTTACAAACAAGCCCCCGTTTGCCCACACCAGGTGTGGGCACTGCGCGTGCGCAGAAACCAAATTCGGATGAGGCGAAGCAACTGCGCATGCCCAGTGCCGTCGACAGCGCCAACGCAGCTGTGTGACGTCACGGCCACTTTTGGACGGCACTTGAACGCGTGAGTGGAGTACCGTCGGACGGCACTTGAACGCTCTGCAAGAGTGCCGTCAGACGATACCCTAGACACTACGTCAAATAGAATATTCTCGCTCAATTCCCACACACTCACATGGTTCATCAAGTGCGAATGACGAATGAGCATCTATAGCAAGATGCTCATTCGACTTACTCTGCAGCCCCCTCCTTTGAACTTGCCAATTGATTTGACATAATTAAAGAACTTGTTAGTCCTTGCAGTGCACTTTGTTTAAGGCTGCTAGAATAATTACGGGTAAAATGTGATTCAAACCTAAATTTAATTGCACCCATGCAAGTGAATCCGGTAGCAGCAAAAGGGAACTATGTAACAATGACAGATGTCATACATGTAATATGAGGTAAGAGTTCAAGCTCTTCTATTTAAGGAGTCATACATTTTGTTGTTCTGTATTGCATTCCACAGGTGTGCCATTTTTTTCTGCTGCAGGATTGGGATGCGTGGAACCAGTGCAGAGGACGATTTGGATGAAGACGAGGTCTGGAGATTGGTGGGAGCGAATTGTTCAAACTAAGTTCCACGATGATGATTGGAAAGAAAACTTCCGCATGTCTAGGTCATCATTTGTAGAGCTGGTTGCTCTCGTTGCACCACATATGTCCCCCCATCTTCAGTGTGTGAGGCCCCCTGTGGAAGTGGACAAGAGGGTGGCCATAGCTCTGTACAAGCTTGCCAGCTGCTGCGAATACAGAGTTGTGGCCAACCAGTTCGGCGTGCACAAGAGTACCGTAAAGAAGTACGTGTATCTGCTCTGCCAAACACTGACAACCAAGTTTATGATGGACTTCATTCGACTGCCAAATGTTGAGGAGGCACGACAGATAGCTGCCAATTTTGAAGGGAGGTGCCACATTCCTCAGATCTGGGGGGCCATCGACGGCACCCACATCCCAATTCTGGCTCCAAGGAAGGGCTACCGAGACTTCGTCAATAGGAAGCATTGGCCGTCCTTCAACATGCAAGCTGTCGTGGATGACAGAGGAGCGTAAGTATTTTTGCTAAACGCGTTTCGAAGCAATTGAGGTAGCTGTTTAATCCTTTCATGGGCCATGGGAAATATATTTCCTATCCGGTCTTGATTTTAACTAAGGTCGAGGAAAGCGAAATTCCTACCCGTGGAGTGTGTCATCATCTGAAAAAATATATCTCAAAGAAAGCAAAATAAGTTATTGCCATCTGGTGCTGTAAATTTCAAGGTGGCCCTTTCACAAACAAGTCGGTGTGTAGCCGCAAATGAGATGATACTGGAGTGCGGCATTTTCTGTCGAGCAGATGTTGGGAAATGCATGCAAAAGCTGGTTCACACATTTGCATCGACCGCGTTGCACTGCATTGCGTCGTGCAGCACAGCGCCTCCTCTTCGGATTGTCGTAATGGTTGCCATAGCAACAGCTCGATGCAAGCAGTCTTAACAAAGTCAAACACATGTGTCTGAACAGACCTTATCTTTCAAAGTATGTGATTCAAAGCAATGACAAACATTATGAAGATGAGTATTCGGGAAAGCAAAAGTGCTACGAAAGGAGTTCCTTGGTTTTTACCCTCCTACAATCATATTAAAGCGTCTACCTTTTTTGCGGTTTCCACGTCCTTTGGGGTTCAGGCAAGCCAGCGGGCACGGAGAGAGTAACTAAATATCAGTGCGCCATATTTTAACCGGACGACGCGGAAACCTCCTCCACCGACAAGGGCGACCCGTGGTACCGAAAGCGCGCAAAATGTGACGTTTTTGGTCCTGGGCTTACTACTGGTCAGAGCCGCTGAAAACTTCTTTTTAGTCGAAATACAAAATAAATGTGGCGCGAACCGTTTCAATTTTTTATAAAAGTAGTTTTTGTTCAGTATTTTAGGTGAAAAAAGAAACGAATGCAGTTCATAAAGTACGGAAACAAGAAATGACCCGTCGACATACCCGCCACCAAGCGGTGGAAAAGGCGGCGCATACTAGAAAGGAGTATCTCGGCGACAACTTCCCACTAAGGTCAAGCAGCTATGTACGTCAAGCCTAGACATGTGCAGAACTTCAGATTCCTCTAAACACTGTTGCATCTCAAGAATAGGGGAGTGGAGAGGAGAAAACCTCCGTTTTTTTCAGGAACGGTGGTTCCCTCCTCTCCACTCCCCTCCTTTCCAGTGTTTGTCCCTAATGCGTAGAGAGAGGAGGGTTCTCCTGCTATTCTTAACTTGCGAAATACTGCCTAAGGGAATTCCAGGCTCACTGCTCCACACAGATATGCAATTAAAAAAAACTGCCAAGTCCTCTCTGACGGCATGTTTCATCTACTTTCTAGGCTTCGTAAAACTGCTTATGTTTTCAAATAAGTGCCTATATCTTAGCCATTATGACATGGGGTATCTAATCATATAGCGCCAAAAGCATGTGGAAATGGTATATTCCCCATCATATCAACCCCCCCCCCCCCTCCCCAAATACCCCCTATCACATGACTTCCTAAAAAAGAGCAAACCTGCTTGCGGCTCTTGAGCATTGTCGGTTTGCAGAAATCACCCTAGATCGTTGTTTTAATGTACGAAGAGCTGTGGGTCAATCGAGTAGTAACAGTGCTGATCAGAAACATTTTATTGCACATAGTCCACTTTTCGAATAAACATTGCACAGGTAACCTTGCACAGTCCTTTGTAAAACAGCTTAGAAACTAGTGATTGCGAGGGTCTGGGAAAGGAGGGGCCGGTGAGGTTGAAGGCATGTGGAAAGCAGGTTGCATTGTGGAGGTAGACGGCACTGGGAAGGCCGATGGCAGTGGGAAGGCAGGTGGTCTTGGGGAGGGGGATAATGAGGGGGAGAGGGAGGGCACTGGGGTGGGGGACTGGTGGACTGAGGAATACAGTGGGTTAGGAAAGCTTTGAGAGGGATTGCGGGACTGAGAAAACAGGGGGTTAATGTTAGAGAAGGTGGCATATGGAAAAGGTTGGAAATTTGGTGTCGCAGATTGAAAATTTGAAAGAAAGTTGGACTGCTGCTGCATAAACTGTGTGAGAAAATTTTGCGTCCCTTGCATCATTGATGCAGATACATTTGCCATCAGCTCCACTGAATTTCTATGCTCGATTTCTAGCATTTCTTTTTGGTGCTCCCGCTGCATGACCGCTTCCTCGTGCATGGTTTTTGCATTGCGGTCATGCAGCTCTTTCAGTAGGTCTCTCATCTCGCCGGCCTTAGACCGAGGCTGCTTTGCTGATGGTGTCCTCTCGTTCCTTACGCCTGGAAAAGAGCAGTTTTTATACATGGTTTAGATTCTTTAAACTTTGCCTACATCATTACATGATGCGCACTGGCACATGCAGTGCTGTTGGATGCTTCCCGCTTGTGTTAAAAAGGACAGTATTCTTACTGTTTTTGCTCCAATATTTGTATACACATCTTTTATTAAAGTGCAGTGTTCAAAAGACAGTAATCTCATTGTTTCTGCTGTCATATTTGCAGATAAATTTTTTTAAGACAGTATTCTGAATGCTTCTGCTGAAATAGCTGTATATCCCTCTTTTTATTAAAGTGCAGTGTTCAAGAGACAGTTTTCTTGATGTTTCTATGTACTTCTTTTATGAAGAACAGTAACACTAAAACATAGTTCTCTTCTATGCATGATTTTTAGTAGGTAACCGGAAAAGTGATGTAATATTTTCTAAAACGTACCATGATACATAGTCCATTCTAACTTCAGAGGATTGAGCCCTCCCCTTTTTCAACATCAGCACAGCGAGCACTGGAGTCCACTTTCCTCCTCTCCAGTGTTAGCTCCGCTAACACATAACAACGGGAGGGTTCTGTCTTCCCCTGTTTCTTAGTTGAAAAGGTCTATCGTGCTTAGCAAGCACAGCGATTGATTCTGAAAAGGCTTCAATCAACTTGCATAGTAAGCACTGACAAAACACAGCAGAGTGCTGCAGTTGAGTAGTGCTTTGCAATTCACAAAAAAAGGCATTCGTTGAATATCCTGTGAGATATAGGTACCATTTGCTTTACTACAGTAATAGCTGTTATTGGGAGCCCACCACAGGAATGCGTACGGCTTCTGTGCATGAACTGACAATTGTTTTCCTTGTTTCTGAAAGGTGCACGCGCTTCGATTTCTCCCAGTGCGAGTGATGAGCTCTGGCCAGTGCTTTGATGCCTAAGTCAGCGTTTCCCCTCGCTCGTGCATTATACTTCATCTCACCTTGGCATTACTCGAGTAATAGCCGCACTACTTATGAACAAGGCCCTTGCGTCTGCTTTCCCGCAGAACACATATACAGCCAATCATCGCGTTGCACAAAAATAACATAGGGAATAACTAGATCGAGAACACGATTCTCCATACAAATACAATGTTCACAGATGGTATCTTCGCGCGAAGACATTATCTCTGTCCTGTAAACCGCTGGAATTGTGCTGCCATCGCGGTGATTGCCAAGCCGCACGCCTTGTGGAAAAGCGAACCTTCAGGTTTTTTTAATAAACAGTGCGGCTATTACTCGAGTAAATACGGTATTGTTGGCTGCACGTATGACGCCTCAGCAGCTGCACGACCACTGATGCAGCGCGAGCGACAGTGAAGGCAATCGAGGTTATAGTCTCGCGCTAGCACAGCCTCTGTGCTTAGTCTATGCTAATGTGAGATAAAGTATAGCCTTCATTGTGCTTTCCTTTGCTAGACTCAGTCGAGACTCCCGTTCGAGCAAGCAGGCCCTGGAGTCCTGCAAATGCCAAGCGATGGGGAAGTGGGCCTCACACGAATCTGATAACGAGTTTGGTTACTCTGTGGCTTTGTGCCCGCAAAGCCCAAAGGCAATGTCAGTGAAGGGCACATGTTACTGAGAATTTTCACTGCCAACAAGGCATTTCATGTGCACTTCACACACAATCCATTCAGTTCCTTGTATAGTGTCTGTGACCGCCTTTTGCTTGAGCATGACGTGAAACCAGTGCCTCTTTTAGTGACCACAAAGCGGCGCTGGTGTGCATTCAATAAAATGGTACATTGTGTGCTCATTCTAGATGTCTCATTTTATTGCAAGGCAGTCCTTTCGGTGATGTGCAATGCACATACAGGGTGCTTGCATAGCATTCCTAAGCGTTCCCGGAGCTACCGCTGTGATTCACATTACGCCTCAACGTGATAATGTTTTTTTTTCTAAACAGACAACATAGATTGAACCTACATTGGTGGTGTGGAAAGAGTGCATGGCTGCAATAGGAAGTTTCATAATTCAGAGAACCCCAGAACTCGCTGCAGTGAGCCAGCGCTTCCTATTCATTTGAATTTCCGAGCACTAAAATGAAAGCAATTAGTCTTTACCCAAGGGCATTTCGCAATGGTGATAAACAACGGGATTGGAAAAAAAGGATGATTTCAACTTCGATTTTAGCTGCCACATTCTTTTCGCTTTCTACAAGCGAACAGAATGTGGCAGCTACAACAGTAACGGCCAACCACTGACCTCTATGACTATTTGCTGGATCGCGCTTGCCCAGCTCCGCGCAGCCACTGGTCGGCATACCTTGGCAAACCTCATTCATGAGGGCCCTCACTCACCTTCATTTTCACAGGTGAGGTGAGGGCGAGCGAGTTTCTGAACCAAACAGGAACATTTATGATTGGGAGGGTGAGTGAGGCCCATGAGGACCGTGAGGACGGTGAGTGCGTGAGGGGTGTGAGGGCCATGAGTGCGTGAGGCGTGGGAGGGCCATGAGGGCAGTGAGCGTGTGAGTGGCATGAGGGCCATGAGTGGTACGAGTGCGTAAGGGCTGAGGAAGGCGAGTGCGTGAGGGATGTGAGGGCCATGAGTGCATGAGGGCCATGAGTGCGTGAGGGCCATGAGGGCAGTGAGGGCCATGAATGCGTGAGGGGTGTAAGGGCCGTGAGAGAGGTGAGTGCGTGAGGGCCATCAGTGCATGAGGGCTATGAGTGCGTGAGGGCGGAGAGGGGCGTGAGGGCCATGAGTGCGTGAGGGGTACGAGGGCCGTGAGAGAGGTGAGTGCGTGAGGGCTGTGAAGGTGAGTGAAGGGCTGAAGGTGAGGGTGAGTGAGGGGCCTAGGTGAGTGTGGCTGTGAGGGTGAAGGTGAATGAGGGCGACCTAAAATGCCGACCTCTGCTGGTCGGCCACACTTTTGGAGGCATAACGTGGCCGACTTAGCGTTGCGGAGGCTGCGTGTTGTTCCCTCCTCCGGTGCTGCACTTCCGTAAAATTTTCGCCGGATCCTCAAACACTGAGCTAGCATTCCCGCTGCGTGTCAAGAAATTCATCAAACAACGGCGATCAAGAACGAGATGTCACTCATTCCTATTTTTTGTAGCAGCCTCCGGAACCTCTGGAACGCTAGTCGGCTATCTTATGCCTCCAAAAACGTGGCCGACTGGTGGCAGCATTTGCGGGACGGGCAAGCACAATCCAACAAGTTGTAATAGAGATCAGTGCTGCCAACTACACCAAAGTGTCTTTGGGATGGCAGTTTGTCAAAGTAAAAGCGAATATGACTTGATGCAGGCATGTATCGACATAAACGCGTGTTTCCATAGACTGGCTGGCCGTCATGGTCAACAAGTCGAGTTGAAAGGGCAGGGAATATGGAAAAGGGAAGAGAATGTGGCAGGTGCAACACTGACGGCCAGCAAGACTCGAGTGTTTAGGGGACGGCAGTTAACGATGTTGGCATGTATGATGGGGTGCTGAAAAGTCCTAGGCATGACCAAGAAGAAAACAATCTTGAGTCATGAAAACTTCATCATTATTCGGCATATTCACCTCGAAGTTCAACACACTCGTCACATAATTTCTGAAGTTTATTTAACCCTCCCAAAAATATTCTGATATCTGGTGACTGAAATACTGCTTTGCAGATGATATCACCTCAAAGTCGTCCAAAAATGTTCTTCGTTTCAAACTTTTTTACAGGTTTGGAAATGATAAAAAAAAGAGACAAGCTGGAATGGCAGGCAAAGTGGAAAAGAGAACAATGTGGCAGCTGCAACACTGACAGCAAGCCACACTCAAGTGTTTTGGGGATGGCAGCTAAAGACGTCGGCATGTAGGGCTGAGGAAACGACAGACACAGAAACTCGAAGCACATGTGACTTGATTCATGCATGTGTCGTCATAAACCAGTGTTTTCATGGATCGGCTGGTGGTCATGGTCAACAAGTCGAACTGAGAGGGCAGGGAACATGCAAAAGAGTACAGAATGTGGCAGTTTATGCCTGGACTTACATGAAGCTCTTTCCAAGGGAGTGTCTCCAGAGAGAGAGTCACCAGGGAGATCCACATCTCCATTTTCCTGGTCGCTTCCCCCTGAAAATTGAATTAGACTATAATATCCACATGTTGCAGCCCTTAAAAAAGAGAGAAGCAATGGATAGAGCCTCAAAAGAGCAGCCGTTAGCATACCAAAATGTTAATTGCTGCTGCACGATCTTCCTGGCATGTTTATACATGCCTGCAATACTTTAATCTCATTTGGCCAAAATGACCTCAAACGTTTTCTTTTTCTACCCAGACCATCTTGAGAAGCGAAGTAATATGATGCTCCAAAACCAGCACCTTAGGAAGACAGTATAAGCTTTTCCTTTCGGAGAAGCTTATGCTGAGTGCACATAATGAGATCATAAAACGCAAAAGTTAGAGCTGTAGAACCCAGGGATCCTGGGTTCAACCCTCACCCCCGCCCGTTTCGATCTGGATGAATATCGTGCCAGCACACGCTCGAGTATGACTGCGTGATGCGAGTTAAAGACCCAGGCTAGCGGTCGTGCTGCACTGGCCATATTTCTCGTCTACAGCGTGAACCAGCGTCACCACACTTCAAAGGTAGATGGACCTTACGGTGTTTAAACTCTCACAACCAATTTGACCTTTTACGAAGAGCATCCCCTGCATGCCTCATCAATACGCTTACACTAGTCTATGGTGTATTCATTTTATTTAAAGGATTGTATGTTCCATGTACTCATACTACCCTGTACTTCATAATCTGGAATGGTCTATAGACACCGAATGAGGGAGAAAGATATAAACACTGGAAAACCACCAGAATTTGAAGACAAATAAACACTGAAAACAATGAACCCTAGTTATTAGTAGTGATTCCTTCCTCTAATTTTTCTTATTTTTTATTTTTGTCATCCCCAGTACTGAGCAGCCAGCAGAGACAAACCTAGTTAGTAACGTCTATTTCTTTTGCATTTATACTTCCTCGTACGAGATTAAGGAGACTCATAAGCAATGCATAAGTAAACGGATGACTGCATTATAAATAGTCGCACACAAGTACCATTGTCATCTTGTTGCTCGTCCTCCAGGGAGCTGTCATGGCTGTCGACCCCGTAGTTTTGGGCCTGAGCCATGGGCCAATGGCAGAGCACAGCGTGCATGTGCTGGAACCATCGCCACTGTGATGGTGCTGCTCCGCTTCGACGTTGTCCGACTAGCTCCTGAGGTTAAAAAAGAGCATAATCAGAAACAAGTATCACACTTTAAAACATTAGTGTTGAAAGTGCCATCTGATAGCGCTCGAACTACGCCGTCAAGTACAGTCTGACCTGGTCGCCCGTCCAACACGGTTCCAAAAAGGGTACTTGGCAAGTTCCACATAATGAATTCTTTGTTCAAGCTCGTATGAACATTATCCATCCAGTTTGTGAAATGACTTGTAAGCACACCAAGGTTGCACTTTCGAGGCTGCCGCTATGCCCTCATCTATCTAATATTAAGATTCTACTGGCTTGCCTGCATTATTTCCTTGATTTAGAGCCTTTTGTTGCCCCCAGTATGAATAGCAACAGTGCTGAGTACAAGGTTAAGCAATGTGGGAGACTCCAAACCCTTCTCCAGTACTAGATTGCAGAGAAGACACACAGGAAAGGTTGTTTTAGCCTGCATGCCACATTACACTTCACACTGAGGGTAAACTACAGATGCGAACTACCTCCCTCATGATATACCTTTAATAACATTTTTCAGACAGACAGGGCACACAGCCAGCAGGGAGGCCCAGAGGGCCCGGGCCCACACCTCAACTGAACTTCCCCAGTTTTGCTGGTGCCTCCCCTCCCCCTCCCCACCAAGGGAATAAATGAACGAATGAATGGAAAGGCTTTTATGCAGTTCGGACTGATAACCTGAGCCACATTGTGGCCTGTTTTGCTGCTGCAATTTGGTAGTCTACGTTCGGGGGAGGGTAGTGTCTGTCCTGGTTGGCGTTTTTGTTGCCACTGCTGGTGCTAAGCCGAAAGCATGCTCAATGTGGTTGTGTAGTTGTGACCATAAGGTAAGTGATAGATCCGGTGGTGGTGCGGCCCAGCTCGGCTGTGTGGGGTTGCCACCCCCCATCCCCCACACGGTGTTTTTTTGAAGATGTGTGTTTTTTTGAGAATGAGTGGCGAGTTTTGTTCTCTCGGGCATTCCGAGTATAGTCTGTTGCAGGTTAAGAATAGCAGGAAAAGTCTTTCCTTCTCTCTCCAGATTAGCAGAGCCATTGCTGGCGAGGAGGAGAGGAGAAAACCACCAATCCTGGTGAGGAATAGTGGTTTCTCCTTTGCACCGCTCCTGCTATTCTTAACCTGCAACGGACTATAGGTGCACCTGCTGTCCAGAGGTTGTGCCCCGTGCACTTGACATCAGGGCATTGTTTGTGAAGGTGACGTCTGTTTGGTGGACGTTGTGGACAGGTTCTTTTAAGTGTGTTGCTCTGCACTCTTCGATTTGAACTGGGACACCGTCGCCTTCCCCTCGAAATAAGGCTGGAGGATGCCCGTGTTGAACAGATTGAACCTGCTAGCTTTGCGTAAACATGTAATGATACAGTATCCCCGTTTCACTGTAACCGAGAAAGCGGCGTAAACTCTCAGAGGCGGGCTCATAACAATAGTGTGCTTCGGCTGCCTAAGTGCATGCATGACTTAGAGCTTGCGCTGGTAGGTTTTTGACATCATTTGCCAAGCTGGGGTAAAAACAGAGTCCACCCTGGTCACTTATTTTGCAAACACCTCTGCAGTCATTGTAGCTCGTGAATAATCCGTGAGTGTGTCGTGGGTCCACCGCGCCAAAAAAAAGTATGAACGATGCTGCTCTACACACTCGCCCTCGCACATTGCAAATGCCGTCTATCCTGGGTGCAATTAATATTGGAGGGAGATATCTTACCGGCAGCTGGTACAACAACTGCGGGAAAGAAATTGCCGGCAGTTTCGAACAGTGCGTTTATCACTAAGGAGCGTGTAAACCCACCCTCTTGCCTGCGTTCGCGCCGCTTCGCGGCAACAGTTGGCGGCTGCTCATTGCAAAACTATTAACCCACTAGGCCCCGCCCTTCATTAGAAAACTACACGCCACTCTGCGGCGTTCAGCCAGCATCCCAGCCCCGCTGTGTCCCATTGCACCTCTGTAAACGAATTCCCATAACATTTAATTCCGCAAAGTTTCGACAACTTTTTTTTTTTCAGTGATAATTGTAAAAAAAGAAATGTAAGTATAGCTAAATTATCTACAAAAAAATCTTTGACAAGAAAAAACACTAAAAGTTATTGACCTCTCTCTCCATTGAACCTGGTTCTGCTCCGTATGAAACGGACACCTTTTTGCTAAGCTACGCTACAACTTGAGACACTCGTTATTGCAATTCGTTTTATTCGAGGAGTAAAGCTATACGCACTACGTCATGCACCTCAACCGGAAATGGCCATATGCACGACGCGAAGAGCTCAAGTCATTTGGGTCACCGTTTTCGGACAGTGTGTGTATCACGTGAAGCGTCTTAACCCCCTATTAAATTACTTGCCCCCTTGTCCCCCGACTGCACCTACAGAAGGCGAGTCCCATACCATGTAGTTCAGCGAAGTTTCGTCAACAACATTCTTTTTTTTTATTTTTTTACAGTGTTCATGGTAAAAAAAGGAAATGTAAATATCGCCAAATAACCATTAAAACAAAACTGTAAAAAAAAAAAAAAAGTAAGCAAGCGCTCACCGGGGATCGAACCGGGGTCCGTTGAGTACGAAGCAGACACCTTAACCACTGAGCTACGCCGCTCTGAAGGAATATCCGTAACTATTTACGACTTTCCCGTCGTGCGTATGGCTATTTCTGGTAAATGCGTACGACTTCCACGGTGCGTTACGTGATCTCGGATTTTAGGCAGTCAGGCTGAACCAAATGAAGGCGATTTGCTGTCGAGGCGAATCGCTCGCTGACGCTCGTCGCGCCGACCGGTTCTTGGAAAGCTTCGCTCATTGCCCGGTAAATCGCTCGCGTGCCTCGGCGAGCGAGCGGCGGTGCCTTGCCGTTCGCTTGGAAAATTCGCTTACGTGCGGCTTATACTTTGTATGTGGAGACGCGAGCGCGCAGGGTACTTTAGTCGCGGTCGCGCAAGTGCTCCTACTGCTCCTACTCGCACACCGTTTCAGAGCGCCCCCACTCGCACCCTTCGCAGACGCCAGCAGCGCACGATTGCCGTTTCAAGGTTTTCCTTTCGGCGCGCGAGAATTTATGCTTCATAACAGCTACATGAACGCTGATATTTGCGGATTACGAAAGCCTGTTCTTCGTTCAATTTACCTTTGAGTACCGGCTTTTGAGGTTCTTCCAATGGGTTCTGAGCTGGGACCAGTGCCACTGAAATCCCAGCAACCGCAGCTGTGCCTCCAGCCTCTGGAAGTGCACTTGGTTGCGCTGCCGGCGCGAGTCAAGTAATGAGCTAATACTCATTTCGCTGATTAGGGCAAGGAAAGTCTCCGTCTCCTTGGGAGTGAAAACAACACGGGGAGATCTGCCGCTAGCCGAGTTCGCTGCCGCCATGTTGGTCGTCCAGGTCGTCCGGATCCGCTACCGGCATGCAACGCAACGTTCCCGTGATCCCTCGCTCGAGCACCCGATTCGATCCGCTAGCGTATACATGGAGAGTCTCGATTCGGATTGACCATCTCAAACCACCCCGTCCCAGCGGATCGGATTGGATCCGATCCGATTTGAGTCGTTTACATGGACCGATCCGATTCGCCAACTGGATCCGATGCGCTGCTGTCGCATCCATGTAAACGTAGCCATAGAGGGGGCGTGCTGCTTGACTAAAGATTATCTCGCTGCACAAAAAATAAATAAATAAATAAATTAATGAATAAAAAAAATAAAAAAATAAAAAAACATCGCGGACAGCGATTTAATGCGCTTTGCCGGATGCGTAACGCTTCGTCCGCCTTGAACAAGCTGGTATGCATTGGACTAACATTTTTCGAAGCGTGGCAGGTTTAGTGTAGGTCCTATCATAATGGTCCTGCAAGACTTCCTTGTCCGCCACAAACTAGCCAATAATTCAAGGACATAACGACGGCAGCGTATTCAAACAGAGTAAAATAAAATGTATATAAAATTTATAAGAACACCATCGTCTTCACTGCTTGGCTTTCAAAATTTTAGCGCCGCAAATAATCGTAATCAAAATATTTTTATGATTGAAGACCCCTCGTCGTGCATCGAACCCAAAAATTACGCTTACGTGAAACATGATTCGACGCGGGAGCAACTCGAGTCACCGTAATTTTTTTTTTTTTTTTAGCGTGGATTTTGTTTTTTAATTTAACTGAGGTACCACTGGCAGAACACGAATCGCATACTTGGAAAGATCTGAAAACTCATATAGCTGGTTGAGTGAATGCAATACTATCGCATTCGTTGAAGCTCGATTTGTTGATTCGAACTTCAACAAATCACACGCACCCATTCTCCCTATTTCTGTTTACCCAGTCATAGTTGTTCCCTCATGATGCAATACGAGTACAAGTAACGGCAGTTTATGCAGTGTTGACGATACACAGCCGTGATCGCACGGTTTTTAGAAGCGCTATAGGACGAGCACAAGCGTCGAATTTCGGTACTCTGATTGATTTCTGTCTTCCCGCCGTGACACCACACGAGAAAAGCGATTACGTTCTGTCTGTGAAATTAGGAACACAGAAATCAAGATATAATTCCGGTAATAAAACAAAGCGAAATAGATCTCTGCAGCCAATACCCAACCGTTCGCGAGGTGACAGGGCAAAAGCATATATTACCTCCGTGCCTTTACCCTCTGCGCACCGCCAGAGAGAGTCATACAAACTCCTTTGCGCTATTATCAACACGATTGCGTTTGCAAGCCGGTAGTCTGACTCGGCTGGGATTCGTCCCTTCTGACCTTCATAGCTCTCTATGAAACCAGAAAGGTAGATACTTTTCTCCATTGGGTTGGTTTGCCCGGGGCCTCCAGTTATTTACGGCCAAAATCACACTAGAGGAGCTTCTGCAATGTTCACTCTGGTCGACACACGTGCTCCTTAAAAATGCCTGTCGTCAACTCTTTCCCAAAAGATAGTTGAAGAGCCAATCTTAGAGACCGACG